AGTAATATTTTAGTTATAAGTAATTTTTTAAGTATACTATAATTTTTTTAGTTAATATATTTTTATTTATAGGTTAGTTTTAAACAAAATATGTTGGTTGTAAATAATTATTTTATAAATGATAAAATTAAAAGAGAATATAAGAAATAGTTAAAACCCACCGATTTGGTGAATCAAAAGAGCAATCATGTTACATGTACATTAACTTTTATATTAAATTTGACCTCTTTTGACATACAATACATATCCATTAATTTTTAAGACACCCTTTCACATCACTAGCGAAATTTTTGACACATAAGAAGGATGTCAACAAGAACGTACAAATAACTTAATTCTTAAGCAAAGCGAACGGTCAAAATTACACTACATCGATTTTAGGTAGTTTTAAAACTATCCAAAATTTATGCCCAAAAAAACCTAGCAAACATCAATTTTCACCTTCTCTCATAAACAGTGTTACCCAAAATTGGTCAAAATCGGTGAAACAAAAACCCCCAAGCAGGCCCTTAGACTGCTTACCATTCGCATTCTGGATAGATTGCATTATTCATACCCGCATAGGCAAATGCATTTTTAATAATCAACATGGTTTTTGACAAAGTGATCTTGAACAGTTACAGAAGCTGAAGGATATTCAAGAAAAGGCTGGAAACAGCAGCAGCAGCCATGATGGAGAATCAGATATTGCCAATGGAAATAACATCAAAAATGAATTTGAAGCAGCAGAACTGAAGCCAAACGTATTGGGAAAACATGTTTTTTCGGATGATGAAAACAACACGAGATCTGCTGCAGATTATTTCAACAGGTTGGATGAAGAAGTTGAGCTTTTGAAGATGGTGGAAGCTGCAGATAGTTCATTAACATCTCCTGAAGATTGGGGCAGTCTTGATTCTGAAGATATTCTAAACCCGCCAACAACTAGTTATCAGTGGTGGGATTTCTGGTCTTGAATGAATTGAATAATTTATAACCAGCCTGGAGGAATTGTGTAATTTAAATAATTTTCCACCTGTTGGTATATATTATTATCACTCAGCATCAGAGAATGTTATCTTGTATCTCTTGCCGTCATTTTTTGAACTACAAATGCTACCTCTGGGAGAGAGAGAGAGAGAGAGAGAGAGAGAGAGATTCAGCTTCAGAAGCCAATTGGATACATTTATTAGAGTTGAAATGTATAGTAGAAATTGCATTCCCATTGGGGAAGAGTTCCAGAATTTCTAGTGCATTTTGCTTATGATATTTGGCTAGCTACTTAAAAGACAATTTCTAGAATTCTTATTGTTGAGAATTGTTAACAAATGGTTATCATTTTAATTGATTAAAGTCGCATTCTTCAACTGAAGGTGCAACTTATGGAACCACCTTTTTACTAAGTAATGGACGCATGAGATGTCGTCAAATGTCACCTCCAACATTGTTGGATTTGGAGACCACCTGATTGCATGTCCGTTGGCTGACTTATGGGAAGTGGTGATTGGATTCAATTGTCTTCAATTCTGTTTTGTGTTCCTGGAAATGTGAATCTAGGGAGTTTTGGTTTGTTATGTTCTAAGTGACAATATTTGCGTTAGAGAGAAAAAGATGGTAATCTTGGAGTGGTTTTGTTTGTTTGAATCGATCCATTAGAAGATAAATTGGCTGTCTTGGCTTAAATTGACCCATTAGATGATAACTTGTTTGTAGACGAGCTCGCTGGAGGTAACCTTGCATAGAAGTACTAGACGTAAGAGTCCCTTCTTATGTCAGATTAAGACACTTGCGCAATAACTCCTTGAACCTCTCTCAAACTTTTACAAATTCATCTTCATCATTCAAATAATATTTTTGATGACATTTTGAAGAAGAAAAAGGCAACCATGTTGTGGTTCTAATGAGAGCAATTATGCATGCCTAAAAGTCTGACAAGAAAAATTGCACCTGAAGCAGAGATTGTATTCTCATCGTATGACAGTAGACGAATTGTTGGAAGATCACTGGCTTTGTTCAAAGAAATCATCGCTGATTTGAGGATTTTAGAGGTAAAGTATGATGAAAAAGATTTTGCCTTAATTCTTTTGTGTTTGCTGCTCATTTCGTTTACTTGGTTTAGAGATATGATTTTGTTTAGTCTTGATAATTTCACCATTGAAGATGCGTATGATGATTTAGTTTCAAAGGAGAAGATGAAGTATCAATTGGATCTAAGACTAGAGATGGAGAAAACGTTGTTCATCGTGGTCATGGAAGGGGCACGTCGAATTCTAATTTCAGTAGTTAAGTTTGTTTTTATTGCAAGAAAAAATAACACATAAAAGGGATTTCAACAAGTTGCAGAATAATTAGAAGGGAATGCAATCAGACACTTCAAGTGAAGCCAATGTCACAGAGGATTGTTTGAGTGGTAGAGATGTCGTCTATTTTTTTACGGCGACTCCAATCTTGACGAGGATTGGATTATGGATTCAGCTTGTATTTTTCATGTGTCCCAATCAAGATTTGTTTTCAGCATATGAAACTATGTCGAAAGGCGTCGTGGTTATGAGCAACAAATTCGAAGAAATGACGCATCAAAAGGGATTGCAACAAGTTGTAGAATAAAGATAAGTTGGCTACAAATTAGAGGAGAATACAATTAGGTACTTCAGGTGAAGCCGATGTTGCGGAGAATTATTTGAGTGATGGAGATGTCTTGGCTATTTCTGATGGCGACTCCAATTTTGATTATGGATTGGAATATGGATTTAGCTTATGCTTTTCATATGTGTCACAATCAAGATTTGTTTTCAACATATGAAACAGTTTCGAAAGGTGTCGTGGTCATAGGAAACAATGCACTTTTTCAAGTAGTTGGTATTGGTAAAGTCAAACTTATGCTATTGGATGAGACATTTTAAACACTTGATCACGTTTGACAAATTCCAGATTCGAAGAAAAATCCGATCTCATTGACTACTCTTGATTCAAAAGGGCATGAGTTCAATGGTGGATGTGGATGTGAAGGTGGAGATGGAGCTTCAAAGGTTTGCGAAGGTGTCCAACATGTATTGGATGAGTGGAAAAAATCTCATTTATACATTTTGGAAGGTCGTGCAGAATTAGTGAAAATTAATAAGCAAAAGTTTAGTACCGTTGTGGATATTCTGTTTGGTATGGTACCGTTGGGACTTAGTTTAGGGTCCGTGTTGAAGAATACAATTTAGTCGAATTCAAAGGATATGAGTAATTCCGCTTTGCAACCATCACATACAGTATCATCATATTCAATTGCCAGGTACTGACCAATTGGAGAAAGGTACGGGAAAACTGTTTTTGTTGTGCATGCTTTAAGTGTATTTGAAGGTATTAAGTCTATCAAGGGGCTTTCTACAAAAGCATTTGAGTTATGCTACATGTACAAAGTTATGTTATAAAGTTGGTTGACAAAATAACGTCTACACCAATCATTTTAAAAACAGATTTTTAAATCATTTGAAATCAACGGTCTGGATCTTGCCAACATACTTTGTAATCCAACTTTTGTAACTTAAATTTGTAGAAATATCTTTATTGAAAGCATTTAGTGGAGTTGATTCTGTTTTAGGGTATGTTTCAACCATGTTTGGTATATTTTAAATGATTTATGATTTTTTGGGAACTCAAGGTAATTCTGTGTAATAGTGCTTGAATTTATTTATCCTAGTTGGATATTGTGTAAGAAGTGAAGAATTTTTGGTTCGTTTGAGAAGTTAGTTTGATTCTTATTGAAGAGTTCAATTCATTCCTTGTAGTCAAGTTTTTTTTTTTTTCCAGGTGGAGAAATTTTGAAGTTACTTTCATTGCAGTGGAATTTGAGTCGGTAGAGAATGTTGGGTTTGTGACCCAAATTCATTTAGGATTTGTGTGCTTTTGTGCATTAGGCCTTGAAGACGTCTAAATGGGGTCCATGGAGAAAAAATGGATTGACGAAGCTAGCCTACCACTAACTAGACGCTCCAGCAACAAGATAGAATTTTAAACAGCGGATGCCGCTCGTCAACGTTCAAGTAGTGCGCCAGCACTCGAGCGTTGCGATCGTCCAGGTTTTCCTTGTTTTGTTTATTCCACGAATTTTTTTGACATTTCCATCTTTAAGACTATTATTAGGATTTGACACGTACTCCTACATATAGTTGGCTACTCTTCATAGTTAAAATAGGTTTTACGTCATTGTTATTATAAGTTGAAATTGTGTAGGAACTCAACATTGTTTGTAATTTCTATCTTCTTTATAGTTGAATAAAATATTCAATTCATCTGCTAAATTAAATTCTTGTTTCTTGTGTTCTTGTTGTTTGCAATCAATACTTCATCGTGCTGAATAATCTCATCTCGTTTCTATTAGTAACTTTATCTGGTGAATGGTATCGGTACTTAATTTTTGAACCACATAGTTTCATGTAGTAATATTGCCCACGATGTGTGATTCTAACTATTCTCTTGCTCTATTTTGCAATGTCTGTGAAAATAGCCTCATCATTAGCACTCTGGTAGGTGAAGTTACTAAACAACTTCAGGAAGAGAGAAATATGCCTAGGTGGATTTTTATTGGACTTTTTATAAAATTGAAAGTGAAGCAATAAGGAATAAAGAATTTATATCCGATAAAGGTCCAACTGATGGAATAATAATGAGATGCCATTAGGTCGGAGTTGAACCCGTATGTAGGGTACGCAATTCTTGACTGCTTTCTACCATTAGTGTGGCCATAAATTCTCCAACTTGCATGTTGTTCCCATCAATCACAGTTGGTTGAACAGCGTGTTCTGGTTCAACCATTATGATTTCTTGCTATTTTATTGTGCTTATTTCTGTTCCATCTGTCTAAACTTGAATCTACGTTCGATTTTTCGGGTCAAATAGCAATATATCATCTTGTCGAACTTTGAATGCAAGAAACCTAAACGAAAGAAGAAAACACTATAGTTTTGAGAAGAAAAAAAAAATCTAGAATAATTCAAATTCGAATTAAAGCTAAAATTAAAAGAAACTAACTAAATAAGCTACAGTTCCCGACAACATCGTCAAAAACTTCTTGTGCTAGAATTTCGCAATACGATATTTGTAGCGAATAGAGAATTGTTACCATGATGACTAAGTTTTAAGTAAATTTCTATTAATACTAACTTTTAAATGAAATGACACCATTTGTAGAAATTTATGATGGCTAAGTAAATTGTAAAATTAACTAATTATCAAACTGTTCAACTAACTAAGAAGCGTTTATGAAACTCAATTAATGAAAATAATTGTGACTTTGAGTCCCTCTACATTCTTTCATTTTAATAGAAACTCACAATTTTTTCATAAGATTTATTTAAACTTGACGAACACTGTTCGTATTTTATTTAACAATTCTCGAGTAATATTAAAACTATCATTAGATATTAAAACTATGTTTTTATGAAGATGCGAACTAGATGTATTAAATCTCAAGAACGTTCAATAAGATCATGTAAAGTACAACGGTAAATTTATATCCCTTATAGGACTTTATAATGATTGTTATAACATTATAAATATAAATAACAAATCAAGTCAACTATTGGCCAATTAATTGAAAAGTATTGAAAGCCTAACAATCATTAAAATAATAATAATAAATATTATATTTAAAATATGGAGATTAACATTAAAACATCAATATGCTTCATCATTATCCTAGCGTCTATATAATTAATCAAGCATCGATCATGACATTACACAAACACAAATTGAATTGATAGCACAACACTTGAATTTAAAGTGCAAAAGGAAGATGGTAGGTAATCTTGAATTCTTGAATCTATTTTTAAGGAAAAAACGCGGCAACGGTCCCTAACATTTTTATTTTTTGTAGACTTTACCTTAACCTTCAATTTGTAATTGTGAAAGTCCCCAACCTTTCATAAATATGCAGTTGAGGTCCAAATGGATGATTTTATGCAATTGAGGTCCAAATGGATGAAAATCG